CGGCGTTGGTCGAGTCGCCCAGCGGGAGGGCCCCCAAGATGTTGCCGGATCGGACCATCTCGAAGGAGGGCCGGCCGATCCACGACATGCGCGCGGCCAACGCCTTCTCCCCGAAGGAGCAGCACCCACCAGCTAAGCAGCCCCTCCACAGGGGGCTTGCTCGGCTCAGCCTCTGGTGGGAGGCAAGGCGGGCGTTCAGCAGGTGGTCGCAAAGCGCGACGTGGCCAGGGCCTTCAAGTGGCACCACCTGGAGCCAGCTGCAGTGCCAGAGTTCGGGACGACGCTCCCGGGCAAGGAGGTCGGGGTGCCAGGGCGAGTTATCCTGATCCACGGCGTGCTGGTCTTCGGCTGGGCCGGCAGCCCCGGCGAGCACATGGCGTTCGCCTGGGCGGCCAAGAGCGAGCACGAGAGGAGGAAGCCGCCGGCGCCCAGGATCAACGATACCGTCAAGTACGCCTCCAAGTGGCTGATGGACGACGGGGTCGTCCTCGAACCGCTGGTGGGCCTCCGACCCTGGCTCTCGGCCGAGGAGCTCGACGGGGCCATGAAGCGGGTTTGGGGCCCGAACGCAGTCAACGAGGAGAAGCTGGACGTCGAGGGGGAATTTGCCGCAGAGCAGCTGATCTGGGGCCTCCACATGAACTTCGACACGAAGGTGGTTAGGCTCCCAGAGCCCAAGTGCATCAAGGCCCAGTGCTTGCTCGCCCTCCCGGAGCTCAGGGGATCAAGGCGGGCCCCCCTGAAGGTCGCACAAGAGCTGCGAGGCTGTGCCCAGTTCTGGGCTTCAGCACAGCCCGCCCTCCGCCCCGAGCTGCCTGCCCTGGACCGGCTCCTGAGCAGCGGGACGAGCTGGGCAGAGCCGAAGGGTACGCCCGAAGAGGTCGAGCTCGCCTGGGAGGAGTGGGACGCGTCTGTGGGCTTTCTGAGGATGCTCTTCGACGTCCCCGAAGCTTGGAGCACGACTTTCCAGGCCAGCTTCACGCAGGCCCTTTCAGTGCGCGAACGCCTCGCACTGCCGGGAACAGCACGTACCACGCGGTGGACCGGTGGCGATGCCACCACTTCCTCGATTGGCGCCATCGACTGGGGGAGCGCAACCGCAGGAGGAGCCACGCCGACGCCGGAAAACATGGCCGCGGACGCCGGGCCCCTGCTCGAGGCCCTGAGTCAAGCGGTCGGGGGCGAGAGCAGCGAGGAGGACTGGATCATCGCGGTGGTCGAGCTGTTGGCGGTGGTCGCGTTGGCCACGAAGCAGGGTTCGAAGTGGGAAGGCGAGCTGGTGTTCTACGTCACAGACAACCAGAATGTGAAGGCATGGCTTACCAAGAGAAGCCCCAAGAACGCCCTCGCCCGCCACCTGATCCGCTTAGTGGAGAGGATCGAAGCCATGCACGGGTGCCGCATCGTCTCCTTCTTTGTTAGGACCTACCACAACGAAGTGGCCGACTGGCTTACCCGCGAGGAGGTCAAGAAGGTTCACGACACGCTGGCCACTTCAGGCTGGAAGCGCCTCGAGCCCCCCGCAGCCTGGGGCCAGATACTGGAGGACGCCAAGGAGCGCCTTCTCAGACTCCCAGGAGAGACGGGTCCCGTGGCCGAGGCTGCCCTTCGACACCGAGCACTTCAGCGGGGGCATGGGCTGCCGAGACCTCTCCCGCTCCGCGGGAAATTGGGCAGAGAAGTGGGAAGCCTCATCAACCCGTACACGAAAGCCCTCAAGCGCCTCGGTGGCTCAGAACCCGAGGAGAACCAGAAAGCAGGATGGCTCATGGCGTCGCTGTCTCTGGACCCCAAGGGCAGAGAGATGGAAGCCTTCCTCGTTGCAGCGACCCGTGAGAGCCCTGAAGTGGCGGTCGTGGACGCCCCGACCGGGGTGGATACGGCCAGGTTCGAGAAGGCACTCAAGCAGCTGGGCTACATGATCTCGAAGTTTGAAGTGGTCTGCACGCACCACGGGGATGCCACCACGCGGACCAGGCAGGTGCTCACGGGCGGGCGTCGGAAAGCGGGGGTGGGCCTGGCGTGCATTAACATGCCGCCGGCCTGCTCGCGAGCTGCCAGCGTCAAGCCGCTCTTGGACAAGGGAACGGACCACCTCTGGCTCGACCAGCAGGGCGAGGTGTCGTGGGACCCCCGCATCCAGTCCACCAGCGACCCCCTCCTCCTCAAGCCGGTCGGGCACCTCAAGAAGGATGGAGTGAAGCACCTGATCTACAGTGAAGAGGGGCCAGTGGGCACCATCCGTTGGCCGGGGGCAGAACCCCAAGGACCCGGAGCAACGCTCCTCCGAGTCACCGGGGGGGGCGGGGGCACGGTCCGTGCCCTGACGCCCCGGGAGGTTTGGCGAGCGCAGGGAGGGACCAACGACGAGTGGACCCACCTGCGGACCCAGGGCTCCTCGGAGGACGAGCTCTTGAAGGGCGCAGCCAGGGCGCTCCCACCGAGGACCGCGGAGGCGGTGCTGGCCGCGGTGGCGGAAGCACTCGACAATACCAGCACGCAGCGCGCCGGAGTATGCCATGATCCAGAGGAACAAGCCGCGTGGGATGCTACCAAGCGCTGGTTCCGCGCTTGGGCACAGGCACCAGATCAGCCCGCACTAGCGCCGGCAGCGGAGGACGAGGCGAGGGCAGGAGGGGCGCTCACTGATGAGATGCACAAGAATCGCCGGCGTGCCCAAGCAGTCCGCTTCAAGATGATCGATGGGGACACGCTCATCGGACCCCGCGAAGCTCCGGCCGCAGAGAAGGTCAAGCTGGACAAGAGTGTGACTCGCTCGAAGAGCCCTCGTAAAGAGAGCCCCCGACGTGCCAAAGAGATGCCAGCGACCAACCTGGTGAAGCCACAGGCGCTGGGCGTAGCGCGGAAGAGCAACTACCCCGGGAAGGAGCTCGCCCCCGCCGGCCGTGCTGAGCCAGGCGGGGCCAACTACGCCAGCTGGTTCGCGCAGCAGAAGATGGAGGCCATGCTGCAGAAACTCAGCGAAGGCACGAGGGCAGGCTACGAGGGAGGATGGCGGCTCTGGGTAGCAGTGCGCCAGGCGCAGGGGCTTAGCCCTTGGCTCCCAGGGCGCGATCGCGAGGAGCGCCTGGCCGACGAGGAGGCGCTCATCGACTTCGCCGTCCTCCTAGCGCGGGTCGTTGGGAGGACCGAGGGGACCATCAAGCAGAAGCTCTTCGCGGTGCGCTACGCCCACCTGGTGGCCGGCTACTCGGATCCATTGCTCCACAGGGGTCGCCTTTGGAGCACCCTGGCAAGGCTAAAACGCCGGCAGGGGCCCGAGACCAAGCGGAAGAAGCCCGTCACGCCAGCCATGCTCGAGTGGCTCCGCGGCTTTCTCCAGCGAGAAGCCAAGCTCCCCGAGGAGGATGCGGTGGTCATCTGGGCGGCCATTGTGAGAGCGTTCTTCTTCCTCCTGAGGGCTTCAGAGTACCTCCTCCAGGACGGGCGCGCGTGCTGCACGGGGGGGACGTAGAGCCCAGGAAGGACGGGAAGCGAGTGCCCAGCTTCCAGGACGCCGACGAGATGGTGATCTACATCAAGGGCAGCAAGACGGACCAGCTCAACGTCGGGACGGTGAGGAACCACTACCGCGCCGGCACGACGCTCTGCCCGATCGCGGCGATGGAGCGGCTCCAGGCTCACCATCCCCAGCGGATAAAGGGCGCCGAAGAACGGCTGCCCCTTTTCCGCTGGGCGTCAGGTACACCGATTCGCAGGGCCGAGGTGCAGCACTTCCTGACGGTCGCGGGGCTGGCCGCCGGCCTCTCTAGGGAGGAAATCGGCAGCCATTCCCTGAGGATCGGCGGGGCGACTGCAATGTACCACGTGACCGAGGACCTCTCCCGGGTGCGCCGGTTCGGGAGCTGGCAATCGGACGCGTTCCACGGCTACCTGTGGGAGTCGCACGAGCCGATGAGGGGCATCTCCGGCAAGATGGCCAGGGGCACCTCCTCGCTGACCAACCCGGCGAAGGACAGCGCCCCCAGCAGAGCTGCCGCCGGCGCTGAGAGCGCCAGGCGTGAGAGCCCATGAGGGGGGCCGCAGCGGGCGCCGCCGGTGCTTGCACACCTGGCGTGCGCCCAGCCCAAGCCGCCGGCCTGCCCGCCGTGCGTGCTTGAGTGCCGTAACCCGACCACCTGCGCCGCCGGCGGATCAGCCGCGCGCTCGCAGGGCACACCCACCCGTGCCTTCGGCACTGGCCAATACCTCAGCGCGAGCGTACGCGCACAGGCCTGTCCGTCGGGGCCCCACCAGTGCCTGGGATACTGTGGGTCCCCTTGCAGCCGCTGGACAAAGGCCATGCTGAAGCCTGCCTGGCACGCCGGCTCTCTTTGCCAAGCCTGGTCGTGCCGGGCGCACTGACGTCAGCTTAAGACACAGTAGCTGGCAATCTGACGGCCCAGCGTGGCCGCAGCACCAGAATTCATGCGCAGGCACAGGCCCGCACCCCAGCGCCGGCCCGGGGAACCCCCTCTGTCAGGGGCCGGACCCTGCCCGCCCCGAGCACTTGTGGAGGGGCGGGGAGCCGGGAGATCTGGAGGCCGCGGCGCGGACGGGGGTGCCAAGCACCGGCCTGTGCCGAGCGCCAGCGATGGCATCTTCGGGCCTTGGCCCGAGGTCAGGCTCCGCCGGCAATCAATGCACCGGCGCGAGCCCAAGGCCTAACCTCGCGGAGGACAGCCGCGCGCGCTGGCATCAGTTGCCTGGCGGCAGTCGGCAGACAGGAGGGCCAGTTGTGCAAGTCGTCGGCGGAAATTGCGCAGCGGTATTGATCTCTGATCTTTTATCTGAACTCCTCAAGTTCGGGCCCTGCTCACAGGGCGTCTAAACTCCCGTGCCTCTGAGCACAAGCGAGGGGGCGCTAGAGCCGAGACGGTAGCAGGCAAAATACACATGTCAAACTACACGTTCAATCACAAACTGAAACCCAGCAACAATATGGAATATGGAAACAAATATGAAACATCTGCCACCCTGCTGGACTCACTCACTCATGCTCAGGCTTGCTCACCCTCGGAATTGCACGGATAAGGGTCCTCCAAGCTGAGCATCCTTGAGTCCGCCTCCTCGTCTGAACTGTACTCGGTCATGGCCTCATATGGCGGGAAGTCTGGGCACGCAGCTGCACTGATGTGAGCCATTGTCCCGCCTGGTGTTTTGAGGATGCCCGCTCCTACTTGCTCGAACGGCTGGATTCCAGCGGCCTTCCTCCTCCGTGCACTCTTGTACTTCTCGTCGTAGACCAGCTTCCAGCGATGCCCGTTGTTGAAATACATCCGCAGCTGGCCTGGCTCGTGTCCCTTCGTCAGCGAGTTGGCGAGTTGGGCATCCCCATGTACCCAGAGCATCCAGTTGTTTGCCGCCTGCGTCCCCTCCTTCAGGGTCATGGCCTCCGCGTCGGTCCGCTTCTCCTTGCCCCGGAAGGTGTAGACCGTCGTCTGCAGCTTGTCGCACAGGCCCTTTGAATCCACAACCACTGCTCCTGGCAGTCTGCGTAGAATCCCCTCGGGCTTCCTCCAGTCGATGTTGTTGCCCAGGATCTCTAGCCACTGCAACTTGATGCCAAACAGCTCGTCCTCAGCATCCACGGCGGAGCGTGTCTCACATGCCACGGAACTGCGGCAACCACGATCGATCTTCCCGGACTTCCAGGATATGAGGCTCACGTCCGCCGCGTCTCCCCTGAGGATCCTCAAAGGTGCCAGCCCCGCCACCAGGCCCTTCGTGGACTTTCCGTCGGGACGGTTGGCCTCGGAGGAGTCGGACCACTCCACTGGCACCAGCACCTGTGCCTGAGAGTGGCTGTGTATCACCACGGGTAGATCAGCACACTCACGGACACGATCGACCAGGCGGTTGGTCTCGTGGATGGTCTGCACGGTGGACGATGGTATGGTGCTGAGCAGAAGGCTCGTGTCGGCCGAGTGCATGGGGCCTGACTGCTCGGATCTCCACCCGATGGCCCCTAAGATAGCCCTCAGCTGGCCCTTCTCCTTGTCGGTGGTCGGCATGTCCTTGGCCTTCTTGCGCTCCGGGGTGAGGTACGCCTTCTCGATGGTCTTCACATACTCGCTCTGGTCCATGCGGAAGCTCCTGTCGGGCTGCTGCTTGATCCGCACCCCCGTCTGCATGAACTCCTCCGACTCCCAGGCTTTCCACTTGAAGCGCTTCTCAATCTGTTCCCGGGCGGTGATCCACCGGGGGTCCGTGTCGTTGCCACCGAGCAGGAAGTCGCCCACGTGCGACCCCGCAATGGCTATGATGTCCATGTCCCCCTTCGCCGCGATCAGGTCCCCGAGCACCTCTGGGTTCGTGAAGTCCTTCAGCGCCTCCTTGGTGAAGCCGTTATCCCTGCCGTGGCCGTCACCGTAGAGCACCCACACGCAGGGGTCCATCTTCATCTGGGTCCAGCCGAACTCCTCCAGTGCCTCGCTCACGGTCATGAACCACTCGATCGCTGCTTCCACGAGCCCGTAGACCGCCTTCCTGAGCCGCATCGCAACGCCCTCGGGCATCCCCAGCGCCGCCGCGAGCTCCTTCACAGGCATCACGAACAGGTCATGCTGGATCTCTCTGTTCTGCGTGAAAGCCCCCGTCACGTCCGCTTTGTAGCCTTTGAAGCCCAACCACGCCATCGTCTGCAGCACCAGGTGCCTCGAAGTTCTCGTCATGGTTGGGGCGGTGGTCGGACGGTGCTCGTACTCGGGGTCCATATAACCCAGGACCACAATCCTCGCCTTCGGCTTCTTCGTGCCCGTGTTCTCGCCCACCTTCCACTCGAGGATTCACCTCATGCGCATGACGTCCTCGGGAGGCGGAGTCACGCCTGGTGGGGGCGTCTCCAGCACCGAAGACACAATGTAGTTGTTCACCTCCGTGGCCTTTGCCTGGCCGAACTTCGCCACCTCGTCCGGGGTCAACGTTCTTTCCGAGATCTCGCGCTTGCCCTTTCGCAGCTGGCTCGCCATGTAGGCACTCATGTGCCGCGTGGCCTGCTTGAGCGGCTTCCCCTCCAGGGGAACCTCAACGGAGACCTCCAGCGACGTGCCCTGACGAGCCCAAAAGGCCCGGGCGTCTGGAGTGGACTTCGCCATGAGGGCCACGTTCTCCTTCATCTGCTCCTCCGCCAGGGCTGCTCGAGACGCTCGGGCTTGGTCGGCTGTTCCTCCTGGGTGGTATCCTTTCTTGAGTATTTTCTTCCGCGCTGGTGGTGTTGAACTGCCCCCTGAGGCCTGGTTTCCTTATGTGGCTTGTCCTGTGCGGGCCTTCTTCAGTGGAGGGGCTGGTTCAGGTAGTCCCTCCCAGGTCGAGACCTCCATGTCGTCCTCGGTGGGGTCGTGGCCCGTGAAGTCCAGGTATTCGTGCTCCATCGTCTGGTTCATGAAGGTGTGGACTGTCCAGGGCGTGTCTGTGCCTCCCATCAGCTCTGCGTAGGCGATCTCCCGTGAGGAGGCCGCCCGGATCTGGCAGAGGTCCACCTTGATGATACGCCCGGCTCGTACAAGCCATACCACGGATCCTGCACGCCCAGGGTGCAGGGCCCGTCCTTCGCCAAGGTCCCCGTCCACCGGCCGCGCCGTCTCTGTGGCCAGGACCCTCGCGAGCCCTTTGAATCGGCCCTTGGCATCACCCTTCTCCTTCCGGAAGTAGCGCGCCCACATGCCTGGCACCGCGGACTTCACCGCCTGATTATTCGCGTTCTCTGCCCTGCTGATGCGTCGCATGTAGACTTGCCTCAGGTACTCCTGCTCGGCAGCATGCATCCTGGTGTAGTTCTCCCCGAACTCCTTGTCGACCCTCTGGGCCTCCACGTAGGGCAGTTCGTCGAAGTCGCTCTCAAAGAAGTGTCCGCCCAGGTCTGGTGCTCGCCCGAGGGCATGTTGAAGGGGTGAGTATCCTCGAACATCTTCTCGTGAGTTCCCAGCTGCGGTCGCTCTGGCCAGGGCTTCCTCCGTCGTCATCTCGGGGTTCTCCGTCACCAACTTGTCCATGGTCCCCTTGGTGGCCTGGATGGCCTCCTCGGCGAGGGAGATGTGCCAGTGGGCCTGGCCAGGTATGGGTTCGTACGCGATGGAGTCGGAATAAAAGTACTCAGCCGCCTGCTTGGACATCCAGGAGCCCCCGGGGTCCACCTTCACCCTCTGTGGCTTGCCGAAGTAGGGCATCCAGCGCTCCTCATAGAACTGCTCGAGGTCGGCCCACACGGGATTCCTGTGCCGGTCCTCGCCAACCATGTGGTACAGTAGCTTGCTGACGCGCACCCGGCAGTTCTCGTCTATGATCAGGGAGATCTTGGACTTAACCTTCGTCTGCGGGTGCTCCCATTCAAACTGGTCCGCCTGGATGTGCTTCCACTTCGGCGGGATGGTTTCTAAGCTGACCGGCGGATGTGCGGGCTTGAACTTGTGCGCCTCTTCGCAAGCGTCACAGTGGAAGTCCTCAGCCACCTGTAGCACCTGTGGGCTGGCGCCCTTCCTCCGAAGTGCGTTCAGCATGGAGGCCTTCGAGCTGTGACCTGAGCCACGGTGGATTGAGGTGAGCCACCTCATGATCTGCTGGTACTCCTTCGAGCTCAAGTCTGAGTTCATCTTTGTCTCCTCTTGGTTGGCTGCCATCGCCTGGTCGGCCGCCTCCCCGGGCTCCACCACGCACCTCATGAACTCGTGGTAGTCGGGCGCGGCCTCCTCGGTCATCGCGCGCACAGCTCGTCTGGCAAACTCGTCCGGGTAATAGCTGGTGGCCGCTGTCAGACTGCCTCCTGTGAGCTCCCCATGTCGGTGATCCCCTGGGCATTCCAGGGACATCCGGGCTGCCATCTTTGGAGACGTCGTAGCGATAAGCCACTCCTTCAACAGCGGCAGGCCCTTCCCGTCCTTCACGCCGAGCTGGCAGCCTGCCACCTTCACCGCCGTCATGGAGCAGTCCTCCACCATCTTCCTGATCATCGTGTGGCCCCAGCCCTCGCACTTGATGGGCCACTCCCAGTGTACATGCTTGCCTTGAGCCGCCTGGTCATAATCCAACTGCACCGCGCCCTTGTACTCCTTGATGGCCTGCAACCTGCGCTTCCTGGTGGCCTCGGCCCTGATAGGGTTGGAGCCGTTGAAGCCAAGGGCGAGGGTAGACAGGGGGCCGCACCTCGTACTGATCCACAGGTGGTCTGGTTCAGCCTCATCACGTGCCTCCCGAGCCCTCTGGTTGCCGCCAGGTGTCCCCAGCTTGAAACCGTTCCACGCACTGATGCGGCATACAGCGTCCTCGCCGAACTTCTCCGCCATCTTAGTGCTCAGGATGGACGTCGGGCTGCACGCGACCTCCATCAACTTGGTACTGCCGTGGGCCATCAGCCCCGAGTAGTCCTCAAAGTGGCCGTTCTCCTGGATGCACTTGGCAAGCCAGCGCTGCTTCCTGGGGTCCAGCTCCTTCGTGCAGTTCAAACCTCTGCCAGACCACTCGGACTGGAACCCACTTGTGCGAAGCTCCCGGCGTTGGAACTGGCTGAGCTCGCCTGGCCCTCCAGCTGGCCGATCCTCTGGTTGAGCTGGTTCAGTGCCGTCAGCATCTGCTCCTGGACCAAGCGGTTGGACTCCTTCTCCTCCTTCTGCACCTTGATCGCAGCCTCGAGCTTCTCCTGCTCCTCGATCTCGTCCTCCATGATCGCGTCTACCGTTCTCCTGCGGGATGACCTCGCGCCCCCTCGAGCCTTGTCCGGCTCTCTCGGGGCCTCCTTCGGATCCCTGGTCACCCCGGCCTTCTTGTCGATGATCTCCTGCTCGTTGAGCCATGAGGCAAACCGGGCCAGCTCCCAGCTGCTCTCCTGGTTCGCCTCTTTCTGGCACCAGGCTGCGTAGGATGGGTACTGGCTCCGAACCTGCTGGTAGGTCATGGCTCCGTGCTTCCCGAAGCCCATGTAGTCGGTCGGCTCCGGGGTATGCTTCATGAGGATGGCCTTGCGGATCGAGAGCTTGAGTGACGGATTCGTCATGCCCTGTGTCACGTGGGCGCCTACCTCCTCTGCCTTCGCCAAGAGCTGGGACTTCTTCATCGAGCTGAGACCCTTCATGGCCATCTGCACTGGCGTCTCGTCCTTCCGAAACATGTGCTCCTTGAGGACCTGCTTCAGCTCGTCCACGCCCCAGGCCGGACTGCACGGTAGGCCAAGCTCCTGAAGTAAGTGCAGCACCTCCGCTTTGTAGAGGCCCTGTACTGCACTGCGAGACGTTGGCATCTGGAGTGGTCGCACCGCACGAGCATGCGATCCTGGCGCAGGTGAGCTGGACCGCTCCGCGGATGATGCTACCCCAGCGCATCTCTTTGCTGACATCGACGGCCTTCGGCCTGGAATATGGAATATATGGAAGATCTGGTGGATCTGGAACTGCGGGTGGCTGGATGCCGTCGGTCGCTGTCGACTCGAGTGAACTTGCCTGGCTCGGGCCCGAACGGCTATGGATCTGCAGCGGGACCCCCTGGTTCACCTGGGATGCCCGGTTCAGCTGGAACTGAGACTGGACACTGGGACGGTCGCTGCCTTCAACTGCGGGACCCTTCTGAGGCTGTGGCCAACTGTTGTGATGAATGCTGCGGGCTTGGCCACACGACTGGCCTCTGCACGCACCTGCTGAAGCAACTGGAGACGCATCGGTGACAATGCTGCGATCGGATTGAGATGGGTACATGTAGCGCTCCAACTGCTCAGCCCGGTCATCCGAGCTGCTGTCCCGCCCCTGGCACACTGCGGCCACGGGCTGGCGGCCCCACTCACGCATGCTCTCGCAGATGGTCTTGAAGTTCCGCAGCTGGCTCTGGTCCTTGACGCGCTGCCCCAGCAAGTCGTCGACCAGGCTCAGGTAGTAGTGGCCTCCGTCAGGTGACTCCTCCAGCTGCACGGGGATGTCCGGTGCGAGCCTCACGAACGCGGCCACCCCAGTCTCACAGTCCACGACGGCCCCGAGCTTCTTCAGCACCTTCTTGGACACCAGGATCGGGACATCCTTCGAGAAACCGTTGATGGCGATGTCGCCTTCCACGCCCGCGCCCGCGATGCCGAACTTCACCTGTCCGTAGGCGCGCTCCTTCTCGCCATTCCCGAAGCTGTAGACTGGCCTGTAGTCCAGGTTCACGTCCAGCAGCCTGGTGTCGCCATACTTCTCCAAGTTCTTGCGGGCCACGATGTCCAGGGCGCGCTCGCCACCCATGGCGTCCGTGCACCCTAAGTCGACGATGCCCTTGCCCTCGAGGATGGCCTGGTCCGCAAACATCGCCTCGCACTCCGACTCCCGGGGCTCCTGCTCGGCGACCAGCGAGGCCACAAGGTTGAACTTCAGCTCCTTCCTGCACTCTGCCACCTTCGCGCTCGCGTCTGGCGCGCCTGCAGCTCCCGGCCGTAGACGTGGGCCATGACGGCCCGGGCAGTCCTGAGCCCAGTGGGGTCCTCCACACTTCGCGCACTTCTTCTGCCCCTTGTTTGGTGGCAAGATCTTGCCTTTGCCTCCTACCTGGGGAGGAAGTGGTCGGCGTGATCCCGCTGGGAACCCCTTGCCTGACCCCTTCGGCGCTGGCCGACCTCCCCTGTAGAAGCCCCTGCTCAGCCTGCTGTCTGCCTGAGCTCCACGAGCCTGGCGGAGGGTGCGCTGGGCGGCGTGGATCGCCGCGAGCGCCTCCGCCTCTTCCTGCTGGGCCGCCAAGTAGCTCTCGATGTCGTCATCGTTCGCCTCCTCTGGGCCTGGTTCTTCCTCCTGCCACTCGCTGTTCTCCATGTCGGCTGCGAAGCTGCTCGCCTCTTTGCCTCATCTCCGTCAAGCCATGTGCGATCATCTTCTCCGAGCTGGGCCGTGTGCGCCTTCGGGCACCGTGAGTGCCCATCACGCTCCGCCAGGTCATCGTCCTCCCAGCTCGAGATCAGCTTCTCCCGGATGGCGCTGACCTCCAGCGAGCCGCCAGTTGCCGTCACGATGGCCGCCCGCTCGCGCGAGTCGAGCCCTGACCGCACGAGCATCAGCCAGCCCAGGACCAGGCTCGGGAACACTTCTGGCATGTCCCCGAGCTCCTCCTCGGCGTCCGCATCCTGGTCAGCAGCGCTCCAGAGGTGTAAGTCCTCTTTCTCGTCGTCTGGCAGGCCGTCCGTGCACTCCCATGTCCATTCGCTACCCTCGAATGGCCAGCCACGTTCGACCTCGACCCAGCGGCATGGTCGCCCTGTCCACTTCCATGCTGGAGGGACCTGGACCGGGACTGTGTGTCCCAGCGCGCGTGCCAGCGCGCGTCTGAGGTACTGGTACCCTGTCTCGAAGCGGTCCGTCCACTGCTGCATTGGCTCGAGCTTGCGGCGCTTCGTCTTGATCAAGAACGTCTCGAGCTCCTGGCCTACGTCTGGCACGGCTTTTAGAGCATCTGCGCTCCAGCCACGCCAGGAGCCGCTCCACGCCATCTGGTCTGGAGAGCCACCCAGCCTTGCAGCGCTCGACCGCGATCTCGGCCCGGCCCGTGAGCTTCGCCTCCAGCCGCGGGCCGCACAGGCACCGGTCCTCCCTCTTGGTGCCCTCCTGGTACTGGAGGGCCTTCCGCCTGTATGTCCGCCAAGTCTTGGGATCCCCATCCCAGCTTGGCACCTTGCCTCGATGATCCTCGGTCATCGTAATTCCTCTCCGTGTCAACCACGTGCTCCTGCTACCATGCGAGTCGTCGGCGGAAATTGCGCAGCGGTATTGATCTCTGATCTTTTATCTGAACTCCTCAAGTTCGGGCCCTGCTCACAGGGCGTCTAAACTCCCGCGCCTCTGAGCACAAGCGAGGGGGCGCTAGAGCCGAGACGGTAGCAGGCAAAAAACACATGTCAAACTACACGTTCAATCACAAACTGAAACCCAGCAACAATATGGAATATGGAAACAAATATGAAACATCTGCCACCCTGCTGGACTCACTCACTCATGCTCAGGCTTGCTCAACCTCGGAATTGCAAGTTGGGCCCCACGCGCACGCCGGCGCATGCGCCAGGCGGTGCGCGACTCAGAGTATAGACGGTGCCGGCGGCACAGAGCCTGGCACCCAATTTTGGTGACGCCCATCAGGGCGCCCACACAGCACGCCGGCGTGCAGAATCCGCCAGGCGGCCAGTGTGCAGGGTCACTGGCAGCAGCACCAGTATCATTAGAACAAAGGCGGCGAGGCCCGCTTCGCGTGGCGGAAGGAGGGACCCGCCCGGCGCTACAAGCGCCGGCGGGACGAGCGTGCGGCCAGCGCAGCAGCAAAATGGGGGGGGCTGCACCGCTGCCGCCATCGTCATCGTCTCCTGAGGGCCCGCTTCTGACCGCTTCGCGGCTGGCACGTCCCGCGGCCTTACAGTAGGCCGCGCTTTCGCTGGCGCCGTACTGTGGGGGCGGGGTCTTAGTTGTTTGTCCTAAACGGTTGGACCCCGCCCTCCCCAGTCGGCTTGGGTTTTCTCCTCTCCCTGCTCCTGCCTCTGCCTGCCCTTCTCTCTCCCTCTCTCCCGCTCAAGCCTTCGGGGCTCAAAGCCCTCCCAGGGCCCGAAGGGGCCCTCTTTTGCCCGCCCACCGTGGGCTTTGCCTTGGTGTCTAACGGCACCGCGGCGAGGCCCGCTTCGCGTGGCGGAAGGAGGGACCCGCCCGGCGCTACAAGCGCCGGCGGGACGAGCGTGCGGCCAGCGCAGCAGCAAAATGGGGGGGGCTGCACCGCTGCCGCCATCGCCATCGTCTCCTGAGGGCCCGCTTCTGACCGCTTCGCGGCTGGCACGTCCCGCGGCCTTACAGTAGGCCGCGCTTTCGCTAGCGCCGTACTGTGGGGGCGGGGTCCGACGACGACAGGGGCGACGACAACGCCGACGACGCCGACGCCGACGACGACGACGGCAAAGAGGACGACGCCGACGCGCCCGCACGGCCCGCCTCCTGCATCTGCGGGGAGGAGCCCGCGGCCCGCTCGGCCGCTGAGGGGCCGCCCGCCGGCAGCACCAGCGGCGCCGGGGGCGCCCCCGGCGCAGGCGCGGCCACGGGCAAGGCCTGTGGGGGGGGGGGCGCCGTCGGAGCCGACGACGGCCAGTGGGCGGGCCTTCCGGCCAGTGCCGCCGACCCTGGGCGCTATAGGATGCGGAGGAGGAGGCGGAGGAGGAGGAGGAGGAGGAGCAGGAGGAGGAGGAGGAGGAGAAGGAGGAGGGGGAGGAGGGGGAGGAGGAGGAGGGGGAGGCGGAGGAGGAGGGAGAGGGGGGGGAGGACGTGGAGGATGGGGAAGGCAGAGCGCGCTTCTCCAGGCTCTGGCAGGCTGCCCCTCGACGTTGCCCGGGGGCTGGGCGGGGCAGAGGTGCAGATCGGAGGGTATCCGGTCGAGGCAGTTGGCCGTCGGGGAGTTACCTCGTAGCCAAGGCTGGACGGATGCAGCAGACTGGCGCGCGTGTGGACACCAGGAGGGGGGCGGGGACAGATCTGAGGTGCTGGTGTCTCGGCTCGCCAGGCGTAGGTCGGGCATGTCCCGTGGGGGGCTCTCCGTTCCATCTCGATTTCACCCCGCAACCTCCGACCCACGGCCTTGCGGGCCTGGCCCCTAGGCTGCAGCTCCGTAGATACGGGGCGTTTCTGTCGCTGTTCCCCTGTGCGGAACGTACCCATGCGACCGTGCATACATGGGATCGCACGGGTACATATACGAGGTGCTGGTGTCTCAGCTCGCCAGGCTCAGGTCGGGCAGCTCAGGCCCCGCCAAACAATGAAAAATTATCAAAACATATAAACATCGTTCCGGGACTACCGTTGCACCATTTTTGAGTACGCCTCCTGTAGAGGGACGTGCCCGACCTAACGCCAGGCCGCCAGGCCCTTAGTTCCCCCAGTTCCCCCCAAACCAAGACTGGCCGCTCTGAGAAGAGAGTGCGTGTTCTTTCTATTTCGGGCCTGACCAGTGCCTGCCAAGTGCACGTGCGTCGCACTTCGCGCCCCCCCCCCACCATCTAAGGCAGCGTTGGGCCGAAACGGAGGCGCGCAAGTGAGTCCAGACTCTGCGTTCCACGTTTATTTTCGGGCCTCGAAGCTCACCGAAATATGAAAACCCTTCTTGTACCCCACGCATCAAAAAAACATCGAGGTGAATGTGTTTCACAATGTTTGGCCCCTCGGGGGACCCGCTGGGTCCCGAAACTATCAAAAAACGACTGGGGATGAAAACCCGCTCCCGGGGAAGGGGACACACGGAGGAAAAGGAGGCGGAGGAGGGGGAGGAGACAAGCTAGGTGCGCTCGCGTCATATCTGACATCCTGCCCCTTCCTCCCATCCCTTACCATGGCGTAGATACCCTCTCTACTCGCACAGTCGGATGTCGAGCAGGGCAATGAGCACGGAAGGGTATGTGATGCATTGTAGAGCACGGCATGGCATGGCGTAGAAGAGCACCGCAAAGCTTAGTATATATATGTGACAGCATGGCGTGGCGTGGCGTAGTGAAGAATTGCATCACAAAGCTTTGCAACGCAAAGCATGGCATCGCACAGCGGCCCCGAACATAACATTGCATAGCATGGCGGTGAAGATCAAAGCGTAGCATGGCATAGCACGACGTGGCACTTAAGCACTGCATATCACAGCTTCAGCTGAAGGCATGGCATCGCGCAGCGGAATGCAACCTAGCATTGCATTGCATGCCGTGGCATGGCACGGGAAATGACGCCAGCGCTGCAGCGGGAGCACGATTCGGAACGAGCGGAAGCGCGGAAATGAGGCCAACGCTGCAGCGGGAGCACGAGTCGGCGAGCACGGAAATGAGGCCAGCGCTGCAGCGGGAGCACGATTCGGAACGAGCGGGGCCCGAAAAAGCGAGAGCAGCATTTTGTGCAAGCGAAAACCCAACTCCGGGGAATCCTGTGTAAAAAAACAGTACGCGGGGGGGGGGGGGGGGCGAACACGTCCAACCCGTCATCAGGGGAAGGAGGAGAGTAGTATTCATATTGAGTAATTGTAGAGGAGGAGATGAGGACGACGACGAGGACGACAACGACGTCTGGACGTTCCGGCCGCACCGTGGCTGTCGAGGCAGGCGACGGCGCCGCAGGCGGAGAAAAGGAAGATGCCCCTCGTCATCTTCATAATCCTGCCTGCCGCGCCTCGCCATATTCTCCTCCTCCACGTTTTTCCTCTCCTCGTCCTCGTCCTCCAACCTCTTTGATATGCATCCTTCTCTTCGGGCCTCGCCCCATTCTCACGGAGGAAGAAAGGAAACATGGCACGAGACAGGAAAGTCTTTCAAGACTGCCGATCGCAGAAACAAGTAAGGGCCAAAACGGCCATGCCTTAACATGGGTGTCAACGCGTGGGATTAGCCCCAAATGCGCTGCCGAATGACGGGCGCGTCACTCGTGGGCCGAACCTGAACGCGAGTTACCCAAGCCAAGCTGGCACTCGACAGACTGCAGAAACCCCTATGGCCAACTGAGCTTATCCCCTCCGTGATCCTCGTCGTTTGGTTTACGGGTCATAGCCACAGTCTCTGGCGGCCGTTCGACACGATCCGGACATCCCCGGACGCTTTTCGGCGAGGCGCACCTGCAGAAACGCATCACGCAGAGAAGCGTCCAGGAACCGACGAAAACGTCCGAACACCCACCCTCCCTCGGACCCTATCACCCCCTAGCGTTGCACCTGCGGCTGTGGCAATCGACGGGCGAGCGGGGCCCCCCGTGGGCGAAAAATATACCCGCATCTGTTTTTGATCCGAACTTCCACACGATCTGCGTAACAGCCCGGCCAATGTGATGTATCTCCTCGATCGCATTCTGGCTTTAGGTCGGGCATGTCCCACTACAGGCGCATTTTGTACGCAAAGTAAAACATGCGCACCCCCAAACAAAAATCCCAGATGGTCAAGAATAGTAAAAAAACATCGTCCCCAGACTATGTTTTACTATTTCGGAATATCCCCCCTGTAGAGGGACCCTCTGCGGGGCACCCTCTGCGGGCGATGCCGCACACGGCCATCCGCTGCCCCGCTCCCTCCGCTGGGCCCGACGCCCGCCTCCCCGCGTCCATCCCGGGGCTGCGGGGGCGCCCCGGGAGCACCCCCGAAGCGTGGCGAAAGCACTGCAGCGGCGAAACTGGACGGGTCTTACAGGGCAGTTTTCAATAATGGGATATTTTAAAACAGTAATATTTTAATACATGATTAGTGTCTGGATAAATCTACACATGAACCCATGGTTGCGGTTAAGACTAAATCCCTGCACCTTTAATACATGATCCGCACGCGGAGCATGTATTAAAAACGGCACTGCACGCACGATGGCAAAATGACCTTTTTGGAGTCCCGAAACGGTGCGGTGACAGGCCGTGCGGCGACCTCGGAGTCCCCAAGAGACCTCACCGCACGGTCCGTCACCGCACGGTCTTGGGACCCTGGAGGCCCCCGTCGCCTGAGACATCCTCGGACAGGAGCTCGAGTCCCGAAACCGTGCGGTGACCCCGCATCCAAAGGCCCTAAAGTGGCAACTTTCGGCAACATTTCAAAGCTCCCGTTAGTAAATACCCGTTACGGTGCCGTCCCCCCCTTTCGTCTGGCCCGGCAGCGTCGGTGCAGACGCGCACGCGGGCACACTCTGCCGCAGCTCGTCGCCCTCCTCGGGTGTCGCTCTCGGGCCCCAGGGGCCATCGAACAGGGGGGCCGGGACGAAGCACGCTACCCTGAAGTCGGGGCTGTCCCCCCACAGGGGGCTTTCGACGAAAAATTACAAAACATACTCCCAAAAAGGCCCCCCCAAGGTAAACAAATACTCAAGAGATAGTCCCCAGACCATTTTTGTAGTATTTACCTAACAGCGAAGACTGATAGGTTTCTAGTGGGCTCAAAAAAAAACATCATGACTACCTAGGGGGGTCTGGGCAGATGCCGGACGGGTGCCGGGGAAAACCGGGGACTCCTTTTTTAGCCAACAGTAACGCACTTCGTGGTCTTCGAGTTTCCAGAACTCCATTCCTGGGCGTGATTTTGAATGCCTGGAGCCAACTGTAGGCCACTTCGTGGTCTTCGAGTTCCCATAACTCCATTCCTGGGCATGATTTTGAATGCCCGGAGCCAACTGTAGGCCACGTCGTGGTCTTCCGGTTCCCAGAACTCCATTCCTGCGCATGATTTTGAATGCCCGGAGCCAACTGTAGGCCACTTCGTGTCCTTCGAGTTCCCAGAACTCCATTCTCGGGCCACATTTTGAATGCTGAGGCAGGCTGATGCTGAGGCTGAGGCAGGCTGAGGCTGAGGCAGGCTGAGGCTGAGGCCGAGGCTCAAGGCAGACTGAGGCTGAGGCTGAAGCAGGCTGAGGCTGAGGCTGAGGCAGGCTGAGGCAGGCGGAGGCTGAGGCTGAGGCTGATGCAGGCTGATGCTGAGGCTGAGGCTGGCTGAGGCTAAAGGCAGCTGAGGCTGAAGCAGGCTGCTGAGGCTGAGGCTGAGGTGAGGCTGAGGCTGAGGCAGGCTGAGGCTGAGGCTGAGGCTGAGGCTGAGGCTGAGGCTGAGGCTGAGGCTGAGGCTGAGGCAGGCTGAGGCTGAGGCAGGCTGAGGCTGAGGCTGAGGCTGATGCAGGCTGAGGCTGAGGCAGGCTGAGGCTGAGGCGAGGCTGAAGGCAGACTGAGGCTGAGGCTGAAGCAGGCTGAGGCTGAGGCTGAGGCAGGCTGAGGCTGAGGCTGAGGCAGGCTGATGCTGAGGCAGGCTGAGGCTGAGGCTGAGGCTGATGCAGCTGAGGCTGAGGCAGGCTGAGGCTGAGGCCGAGGCTGAAGGCAGACTGAGGCTGAGGCTGAAGCAGGCTGAGGAGGCTGAGGCTGAGGCTGAGGCTGAGGCAGGCTGAGGCTGAGGCTGAGGCTGAGGCTGAGGCTGAGGCTGAGGCAGGCTGAGGCTGCAGGCTGAGGCTGAGGCTGAGGCTGAGGCTGAGGCAGGCTGATGAGGCAGGCTGGCTGAGGCTGAGGCTGAGGCAGGCTGAGGCAGGCTGAGGCTGAGGCCGAGGCTGAAGGCAGACTGAGGCTGAGGCTGAAGCAGGCTGAGGCTGAGGCTGAGGCAGGCTGAGGCTGAGGCTGAGGCAGGCTGATGCTGAGGCAGGCTGAGGCTGAGGCTGAGGCTGATGCAGGCTGAGGCTGAGGCAGGCTGAGGCTGAGGCCGAGGCTGACTGAGGCAGGCTGAGGCTGAGGCTGAGGCAGGCTGAGGCTGAGGCTGAGGCAGGCTGAGGCTGAGGCTGAGGCTGATGCAGGCTGAGGCTGAGGCAGGCTGAGGCTGAGGCCGAGGCTGAAGGCAGACTGAGGCTGAGGCTGAAGCAGGCTGAGGCTGAGGCTGAGGCAGGCTGAGGCTGAGGCAGGCTGAGGCTGAGGCTGAGGCTGATGCAGGCTGAGGCTGAGGCAGGCTGAGGCTGAGGCCGAGGCTGAAGGCAGACTGAGGCTGAGGCTGAAGCAGGCTGAGGCTGAGGCTGAGGCAGGCTGAGGCTGAGGCAGGCTGAGGCTGAGGCTGAGGCAGGCTGAGGCTGAGGCTGTGACTGCGACTGCCGTTGCCACTGCGACTGTCATCGCGAATGCGACTACGACTGCGAGAACAGCAGAATTCTACAACTGGATTCTCATCTGAATCTTAAAGGGAATGCTTCCAAATATGCTCCTACACATCGCTGTTAAGCTGCTTTGCCGGGATAATGTTTGACTATTTCAGGGGTATGCTCTATCTTTCGTCGAAAATCCCCCTGTAGGGGGACATGCCCGACTTGACACTACCCCCATGAAGCGGTCGGGACCTCTTGTGGCTGCCGGTTGACAGAAACATGCCTGCGGACGTGGAGGCCTCCCGGGCGCTCGCCCGAGCCGATCTCTGGGCACGTCGGGGGGCGCGCGGGCGGCCAGAACTCCACCTGCGACCACGGGGGGGTGCCTGGGGAGGTCCGAGACCGCCGGCAGCAAGCCCTCTTCGTCTCTGTAGCCTCGAGCCACGGGCCGCGACTTCCAACCCTCGACGAGAGGCCGACTAGAGGGGGTCCGAATGGATGGGGTCAGAAGATCGCACAGCATCCCCGAGGCACTGACGATGCATCGGCGACGCCAGTGGAGAAAATCCGGTTCCACATCGCGCCGCATCGGAGATGCGGGCTGATAGTCAGACACCATCTGCTCAGACCCCATCTGTGCGACAAATATAACGCATCTTACGATAGCAACCTTCGAAGCCTTACTGGAGCCGCAGGTGCGGGACGCCATATTGAAAATGGATGCGCAAACGTGCGACCTTACGCGGGACGCTTGCGCGCTAGTGTCAACGAAGGCGACCCCGTCGTCCTGCCCAGGGTCCCAAAGAATCGTATGACAGACCGCGTGGCGACCTCGGAGTCCCAAAATACCTCGCCCAGCGGTCCGTCACCGCACGCAGCTGGGACCTTGGACGACCCAATCGGCCGAGGCATCCTCGGAGAGCGGCCCGCACCCCAAAACCGCGCGGCGACCCCGAATCCCAGCTGGCTCACCACGCGGTGAAATCACCACATCACTTGAGCGACGACCAACACGGGGTCTTACGCGGTGGCTCACGCGGGCCGCTGGCGCGGCACGCTGCACTGGAAGCAGGGGCGCTTACGCGCGACCTCCCGCGGACAGTCTACGCGTCCACGTCGGCGCGGACGACCCCGTTGTTCTGCGTCGCACACTTGGTGACCCCCGATATCTGGAAACATCCACATCGGGGATCTTCTGGCCCGGGTCAATCCAGACCCGGGTCAGCAGAAAACCAATTACGCTACCGAGGAACCCCACATACTGATTTTGAATCTTATGTGTTTGCTTGTCATTATCATCTTTGCGCAATCCTGCGTTCTAAACCCTCGTCGCGAATCGTCGTCGTACTTGTCGTACTCGTCGTCGTACTCGTCGTACTCGTCGTCGTACTCGTTGCCGTTCTATCGTCTTACTCGTCATCGTACTCGTCGTCGTACCTCGCCATCGTACTCGTCTTCGCATTCGTCGTCGTGCTCGTCGCACTCGTCGTCGCACTCGTCGTCGTCCTACTCGTTGTGCTCGTAGTGCTCGTCGTACTCGTCGCCGCACTCGTGGTCATCGTCGTCGTCCTCCTCCTCCTCCTCCTCCTCCTCCTCCTCCTCGCCCCACCCAATCCTCTCAACTCCTCCGCACTCCTCTCAATTCCTCCGCACTTCCCTCAACTCCTCCGCACCCCTCTCAACTCATCCTCTCACCTCCTTCTGTACTCATCTTTCTGCACTCCTCCGCACTCCTCTCAACTCCTCTTCCCAACTCCTCCACACTCGTTTCATTCACCTCGGCGCCCATCTCGAGCATTGATTTCTTGAGCTGCTCGCACGGCGGTGGCAACGCGGCCATGGCGCATTTGGGCGCCATGACGGGGGCCGTGCTTTTGACGGAAAGTCACTAGCAGTCGCCCGCGATCACATATCGCGCGGTCTGAGCCGACATGAGCCAGGGTGACTACAATTCTTGATGATGATAATGCTGATGATGTTGATGATGATGATGATGATGATGATGATGATGATGATGATGGCGCCCCCCCCTGCTTGCGTACCCCTGTGGCCTCAAGAACAAGTGACGCGCGCTACGCCCTGGTAGACTCCACCCCCTGCGCACCCCCCACGGTGTCGAGAAACTGCCACGCCTGCTATGCCTGGACGACTGCTATGCCTGGACGACTGGGGCGTATAGAGACCGCGGTGAGAGACCACCCCCTGCGCACCCCTTATAATGTCGAGACAGTCCCACGCATGCTGTGCCCGGGACGACATAGGCGCATAGCGGTCGCGCTGAGGGACAACCCCCTATGGTGTCGAGGAAGTGCCACGCCTGCTGTGCGTGGACGACTGGGGCGTATACAGGCCGCGGTGAGAGACCACCCCCTGCGCACCCCCTATGGTGTCGAGAAAGTGCCACGCCTGCAGTGCCTGGGCGACTGGGGCGTATAGAAACCGCGGTGAGAGACCACCCCTTGCGCACCCCCTTTGGTGTCGAGAAAGTGCCACGCCTGCTGTGCCTGGACGACCGGGGCGTATAGAAACCGCGGTGAAAGACCACCCCCTGCGCACCCCCTACGGTGTCCAGAAAGTGCCACGCCTGCTATGCCTGGACGACTGGGGCGTATAGAGACCGCGGTCAGAGACCAGCCCTTGCGCACCCCCTATGGTGTCGAGAAAGTGCCACGCCTGCTGTGCCAGACGACCGGGGCGTATAGAAACCGCGGTGAGAGACCACCCCCTGCGCACCCCTACGGTGTCGAGAAAGTGCCACGCCTGCTGTGCCTGGACGACGGGGCGTATAGAAACCGCGGTGAGAGACCACCCCCTGCGCACCCCCTACGGTGTCCAGAAAGTGCCACGCCTGCTGTGCCTGGACGACTGGGGCGTATAGAGACCGCGGTGAGAGACCAGCCCTTGCGCACCCCTTATGGTGTCGAGAAAGTGCCACGCCTGCTGTGCCTGGACGACCGGGGCGTATAGAGACCGCGGTGAGAGACCAGCCCCTGCGCACCCCCTACGGTGTCGAGAAAGTGGCACGCCTGTTGTGCCTGGACGACCGGGGCGTATAGAGGCCGCGGTGAGAAACCACCCCCTGCGCACCCCCTATGGTGTCAACAAAATCCGGGGCGTATAGAGACCGCGGTGAATAACCACCCCCTGCGCACCCCCTATGGTGTCAAGAATATGCCATGCCTGGTGTGCCCTGGAAGATTGGCGCGTATATAGGCCGCGGTGAGAGACCAGCCCCTGCGCACCCCCTACGGTGTCCAGAAAGTGCCACGCCTGCTGTGCCTGGACGACTGGGGCGTATAGAGACCGCGGTGAGAGACCAGCCCTTGCGCACCCCTTATGGTGTCGAGAAAGTGCCACGCCTGCTGTGCCTGGACGACCGGGGCGTATAGAAACCGCGGTGAGAGACCACCCCCTGCGCACCACCTACGGTGTCGAGAAAGTGCCACGCCTGCTGTGCCTGGACGACTGGGGCGTATAGAGACCGCGGTGAGAGACCAGTCCTTGCGCACCCCCTATGGTGTCGAGAAAATTATACGCCTGCTATGCCCGGACGACTGGGGCGTATAGAGACCGCGGTGAGAGACCACCCCCTGCGCACCCCCTTTGGTGTTGAGAATATGCCATGCCTGGTGTGCCCTGGAAGACTGGCGCGTATATAGAGACCGCGGCGAGAGACCACCCCCTGCGCACCCCCTATGGCGTCGAGAAAGTGCAACGCTTGCTACGCCTGGACGACTGGCGCGGCAGGGAAGAAAACCAGAACCCCACGAAACATGTGGGGAAGAAAACCACGAGCTGTGCTGTGCTGAGCTGAGCTGTGCTGAGCTGTGCTGTGCTGTGCTGCGCTGTGCTGTGTGCTGAGCTGAGCTGAGCTGTGTGCTGTGCTGAGCTGAGCTGTGCTGTGCTGTGCTGTGATGTGCTGTGCTGTGCTGTGCTGTGCTGTACGAAGAGTGCGGTGTGTGTGTGTGTGTGTGTGTGTGTGTGTGTGTGTGTCGCGGGTGCGGCGCGGCAGGGAAGAAAACCAGAACCCCACGAAGCATGTGGGGAAAAAACTGCAATGCAAGAAAAAAACACTGCAACGCAGGTCTTCGCAAACCCGGGTCAGCCAATATGCGCGGCCGCCTCGCGGCCACGAGCGGCTCGCTAACCCGGGTCAGCCAAAGGGGGTCTTCGCAGGATCCTGCAGGATCTGGTGCCCTGGCTGACCCCCGCGGCCCCGACCGACCGATCCCCCCTCGGGCCGGCCGGGGCGGCGCGGCCGGAGAGACGCACGCGGAGGAGGCCGCTGGCACGGGCGAGGCGGGCACCGCGTGGTCATCGCCGCCTCGGGGCGGCCACGAGGCGCAGCGGCCCCGTCGTCGCCGTCCTCGTCGTCGACCTCGTCGTCGTCGCCGTCGCCGTCGCTGGCGTCGTCGTCGTCGTCGTCGTCCGTCGTAACCGTCGCCGTCGTCGCCGCTGTCTTCACCGCCGCAGTTGTCGTCGCCAGCGTAGTCGTGATCGTCGCCGAAACCATCGTCGTCGTCGCCCTCGCCGTCGACATCGTCGTCGTCGTCGCCGTCGCCATCGTATTCGTCGCGGTCATCGTCGCAGTCGTCGTCGCCGTCGTCGTCGTCGTCGCCATCGTCGTCGTCGCCCTCGCTATCGCCGTCGTCGTCGTCGTCGTCGTCGCAATCGTCATCATCTTCGTTGTCGTCGCCGTCGCCGTCGCCCTCGTCGTCACCATCGTCGCTGTCGTCGTCGCCATCGTCGCCGCTGTCGTCGTCACCGTCGTCGCTGTCGTCGCAGTCGTCGTCGCCGACGTCAACGCCATCGCCTTCTGGTCTCAGTCGTCGTTTTCGTCGACGTCGACGTCGTGATCGCCCTGGTCGTCGTCGAAGTCGTCGTGGTCGTCGACGCCGTCGTCGTCGCTGTCGCCATCGTCGACGTCGTCGCCATCATGATCGTCGTCGTTGTCGTGGTCCTCGACATCGTCATCGCCGACGTGGCCAAAAGGCCGTCGTTCGTCGCCGTCGCTGTCGCAGTCACCGTCGTCAACGTCGTCGTCGCCGTTGCCATCGTTGTCGTCATCTTCGTCGCCGTCGTCGTCGTCGTCGCAGTCGTCGTCATCTTTGTCGGCGCCATCGTTGTCGTCATCGTCTTCGACGTCGCCATCGTCATCGTCATCGTTGTCTTCGTCATCGTTGCCATCGTCGTCGTCATCGTCGTCGTAGTCGTCACCGTCATCGTCGTCGCAGTCGTGGTCGTCGCGGTCGTCGTCGCAACCGTCGCCGTGGTCGTCGTCACCGTCGTCGTCGGCATGGTCGCCGCCGCGGTCGCCGTCGCCCGTGTAGTCGTTGTCGTCGCCGACACCGTCGTTGTCATCACCGTCGTCGTCGTCGACGTCGTCGTCTCCGCCGCGGTAGTCGTCTCCTGTGTAGTCGTTGTCGTCGCCGACACAGTCGCCGTCGTCACCGTCGACGTCGTCGTCGTCGTCGTCAGCGCGGTTGTCGACGTCGTCGCCGTTATCATCATCGTCGTCGTGGTCGACATCGAAGTAGTCGTACAAGCGGTCGCCATCGTTGTCGTCGTCGCTCTCGTCGCCGTCGGCATCGTCATCGACGACGTTGTCGTCGTCGTCGCGGTGGTCGACGTCGTCGCCATCGCACACGCCGTCGTCGTCGTCGTCGTCGTCGCTGTCGTCGTCACCATCGTCGTCGCCGCCACCGACCCCGTGGCCGTGCCCGTGGCCTTCCCTGACGTGGTCGCCGCAGCCGTCGCCATCGTCGTCGTCGCCGCCGTCGTCGTCGTCGGCATCGTCGTCGTCGACGTCGACGTCATCGTCGTCGTCGCAGTCGCCATCGTCGTTGCCATCGTCGTCGTCGCAGTCGTCGTCGTCGCCGCCGTCGTCGTCGTCGCAGCAATTGACATCGTCGTCGTCGTCGCCATCGTCGTTGACATCATCGTCGCTGTCGTGGTCATCGTCGTCGTTGTCGTCGTCGTCGTCGTCGCCATCGTCGTTTCCGCCTTCGTCGTCGCCGCCGTCGTCGTCGCAGCAATTGACATCGTCGTCGTCGTCGCCATCGTCGTTGACATCGCCGTCGTCGCCGTCGTGGTCATCGTCGTCGTTGTCGTCGTCGTCGCCATCGTCGTCGCCGCCTCGTCGTCGTCGCAGTCGTCGTGCTCGTCGTCGCCGCCGTCGGCGTCGTCCACGTCGTTGTCGTCGCAGTCGCAATCGTCGTCGTCGTGTTCGTCGTCGTCGTCGGCATCGCCATCATCGTCGTCGTCGTCGGCATCGTCGTCGTCGTGATCGTCGCCATCGTTGTCGTCGTCGCAATAGTCAGCGTCGTCGTTATCGTCGTCGTCTCCGTTCTTGTCGTCGCTGGCGTCACTGCCGTCGTCGTCGTGGTTGACGTCGCTGTCGTCGTCGCCGTCCCCTTGACAATCGTCGCTCTCGCCGTCGACGTCGCCGTCGTCGTCGCCGCCTTCGTCGTCGTCGTCGTCGCTGTCGCCGTCGACGTCGCCGTCGCCATCGCCGTCGCCATCGGCGTCGCCATCGTCACCGTCGTCGTTGTTGTCGTCGACGTCGCCGTCGTCGTCACCGCCATCGTTGTCGTCGCCGTCATCGTCGTCGTCACCATCGTCACGGTCGCCGTCGTCGTCGTCGCTATCATCATCACAGTGTCGTCGTCGTCGATATCGTTGTCGTCGCCGTCGTTGTCGTCGTCGCCGCCGTCGTCGCCGCCGTCGTCGTCGTCGTCGTAACCGTCGCCGGCGGCATCGTCGCCGTCGTCATCAATATTGTCGTCGACATCGCCGTCGTCGCCATTTTCGTCATTGTCGTCGCTGTCGTCGTCATCGTCGTCGTCGTCGCCATCGTCGTCGGCATCGTTGCCGTTGAAGTCGTCGTCGCCATCGTGACCGCCGCCGTCATCGTCTCCGTCGCCATCACCGTCGCCGTCGCCGCCGTCGTCGTCGTCTTCGTCGCTATCTTCAGCGTCGTCGCCGCCATCGTCATCATCTTCGTTGTCGTAGCCGTCGTCGCCGCCGCCATCGTCGTCGCCGTCGTCGGTGTCGTCGTCGCCGTCGTCGTCGCCGTCTTCGTCGCCGTCGTCGTCGCAACCGTCGTCGTCGTCGCCCTCCATCGTCGGCGTCGTCGCTGTCGTCGTCGTGATAGCAGTTGCCGTGGTCGAAGTCGTTGTCGTCAACGACGCCGCCGTCGTCGTCGTCGCCAACGTCGACGTCGTCGCAGTCGTCATCGTCGTCGTTGCCGTCGTCGTCGTCGACGTCGCCATCGCCGAAGTCGCCACGGCCATCGTCGTCGTCGCAGTCGCCGTCGCCGTCGTCACTGTCGTCGTCGCCGACGTCGTCGCCCTCGACGTCGCCGTGGCCGTCGTCGTCGTTGCCAACGTCGTCGTCGTCGTCGCGCTCGACGTCATCAACGTCGGCGCCATCGTTGTCGTCGCCATCGTCATTGACGTCACCGTCGTCATCGTCATCGTTGTAGTCGTCACCGTGGCCATTGTCCTCGTGGTCGTCGTCGTCGTCGCCACCGTCGTCGCTGTCACCGTCGTCGTCGTCGTCGTTGTCGCCGTGACTGTAGCCGTCGTCGAACTCGTCGTCGTCGCAGTCGCCGTCGCCATCGTCGCCGCAGCGGTCGTCGTCGCCAATGTAGGTCGTTAGCGTCGCCAGCACCGTCGTCGTCGTCACCGTGGTTGTCGCCGCCGTCCTCGCCGCGGTCGTCGTCGCCAGTGTAGTCGTTGCCGTCGCCGACACCGTCGTTGTCGCTACCGTCGTCGTCGTCGACGTGGTCGTCGTCGTCGGCGCAATGGTCGACGTCGTCGTCGTCATCGTCGTCGCGATCGTGGTCACAATCGTCGTCGCCGTCGTTAAGGTGGCCGCTATCGTCTCGCCATCGTCATTGTCGACATTGTCGTCGTCGTCGCCAGCGTCGCCGTTGCCGTCGTCGTCGACGTCTTTGTCGCCGACATCGTCGGCATCGTCGTCGCCGTCGTCGTCGCCGTTGCAGCCGCCGTCGCCGTCATCGTCGTCGCCGTCGCCGTCGTCGTCGCAGCCGTCGTCATCGTATTCGTCTTCATCGCCATCGCCGTCGTCGTCGAGGCCGTCGTCATCGTCGTCGTTGTTGTCGTCGCCGTCGCCATCGTCGTCGTCGTCGCTCGCCGTCGCCGTCCTCGTCGCCATCCATCTTCGATGTCACCGTCGCCGTTGCCGTTCGCGGCGTCGTCCTCGTCATCGTCGTCGTAATCGCAATCGTCGTCGTCAACGCTGTCGCCTTCGTCGTCGCCGACGCCATCGTCGTCATCGTCGTCGTCGTCGCAGTCGCAGTCGCCGTCGACGTCGCCGTCATCGCCGTCGTCGTCGTCGTCGACGTTGTCGTCGTCGCCATCGCTGTCGTCGTCGTCGTCGCCGACGCCATCGTCATTGTCGTCGTCGTCGTCGTCGCCATCATCGTCGCCATGTCGTCGTGGTGGTCCATATCGTTGTCGTTGTCGTCGCCGTCGCCAACGTCGCCATCGTCGATGTCGTCATCGACGTCGTCGTCGTCGTGGTCGTCGTCGTCGTCACCATCGTCGCCGCCGACGCCATCGTCACGGTCGTCGTGGTTGTCGCCATCATCGTCGCCATGTCGTCGTCGTGGTGGTCGATATCGTTGTCGTTGTCGTCGCTGTCGCCGTCGTCGCCCTCGGCAAATTCGTCGTCGCCGTCGTCGTCGCCGTCATTGTCGTCGTCGCCATCATCGTCGCCGACACCAACGTCACGGGAACAGTTTCCATCGCCATCATCGTCGCAATGTCGTCGTCGTGGTCGTGGTCGTCGGTATCGTTGGTCGTCGCGGTCGTCGTTGGCGTCATCGTCACCGCCGTGGACGTCGTCGTCGTCGTCACCGTCGCCGGCGACGTCGTCGTCGTCGTCGACATTGTCGTCGTCGTCGTCAACGCCGTCGTCGCCGTCGTCGTCGCAGTCGTCGTCATCGTCGTCGTCCTCGTCGACGCCATCACCGTTGCCAACATCGTCGTTGCGCCATCGTCGTCGTCGTTGTCGTCGCCATCGTTGCCGTCGAAGTTGTCGTCGCTATCGTCACCGCCGCCATCGTGGCCGTCGCCTTCAACGTCGCCGTCGTCGCAGTCGTCGTCGTCGTTATCGTCGCCATTGCTGTCGTCAGCGTCGTCGTCGTCGCCGTCGTCGCGGTCGTCGTCCGTCGTCATTGTCATTGTCGTCGTCGTCGTGGTCGCCGACATCGTCGTCGTCGTTGTCGTCTTCGTCGTCGTCACCGCAACTGTCGTCGCCGTGATCGTGGCCGCCGCCGGCGACGTCGTCGTCACCGTCGTCGTCGTCGCCGTTGCCGTCGTCGTCGTAGTCGTAGCCGTCGTCGCCGTCGTAATTGTCTTCGTCGTCGTCGTGGTCGTCGTCGCAGTCGTCTTCGTCGTCGTTGTCGTCGTCGTCGTCGTCGACGCCGTCGCCAACGATGTCGCCGACACCGTCGTCGTCGTCGTCGCCGACGTCGTCGCTGTCGCAGTCGTCGCCGTCGTCGCGGTCGCCGCTCTCGTCGTTGCATCCGTCGTTGTCGTCGTCGCCGTCGTGGTCGCCATCGTCGTCGTCATCGTCACTGTCGTTGTCGTCGCCATCGTCGTCGTCGTCGCAGTCGCCGTCGTCGACGCCATCGTCGTCGATGTCGGCGTCGTCGCTGTCGTGTTCGTCGCCGATGTCGCCGCCGCCGTTGTCGTCGTCGTCGCCGCCGTCGTCGTTGCCGACGTCGTCGCCGACGCCTTCGCCGTGTCCGTCGCTGACGTCGCCGTCGTCGCCGGCGTCGTCGTCATCGTCGCCGTCATCGCCACCGTCATCGTCGCCGTCGTCGTGATCGTCGTCGGAGTCGTCGTCAACGGCGTCAGCGTCGCCATCTTCGTCGCTGTCGTCGGCGTCGTCGTTGTCGCCAGGGTCGTCGTCGCAGTCATCATCGCCGTCGTCGTGAACGTCGTCGTCGCCGTCGTCGTCGCAGTGGCCGTCGCCGCTGCCGTCGCCATCGCCGCCGTCGCCGATGCCATCGTCGTCGTGGCCATCGTCCAGGTCGTCGTCGCCGTCGTCGTTGTTGTCACCATCGTCTTCGTCTTCGTGGTGGTCGTCGTCACCGTCGCCAACGTCGTCGCCGTCACCGTCGTTGTCGTCGTCGCCGCCGTTGCCGTCGTCGTCGCCGTCGTCGGTACCGTCGTCGTCGCCGCCGCCGTGGCCATCGCAATCGACGCCGTCGTCGGCGCCGTGGTCGTCGAGGTCGTCGTCGTCGTCGTCGTCCTCACCATCGTCGTAGCCATCGTCCTCGTTGTGGTCGACGCCATCGTCGTCGTCGTCGATGTCGGCGTCGTCGCTGTCGTCGGTGTCGTCGCCGTCGACATTGTCGCCGTCGCCGTCGCCGTCGTCGTCATCGTCATCGTCGCCATCGCCGTCGCAGTCGTCGCAGTCGTCGCCGTCGTCGTCGAAATAATTGTCGTTATCGCCCTCGTCGTCGCGATCGTCGTCTTCGTCGCCACCCCTGTCGCTGTCGTCAACGTCGCAGTCCTCGTCGTCGTCGACGTCGTCGTCATCGTCGTCGCCGTCGCATTCGCCGTCGTCGCCGTTGTCATCTCAATCGTCGGTAACGTCGTCGTCGTCACTGTCGTCGTCCTCGTCACCATCGTCGTCGTCGTCGCCATCGTCATCGACGTCGTTGTCATCGTCATCGTCGCCACCGTCACTGGCGTCAGCGTCGTCGTCATCGATGCCGTCGTCGTCGTCGTCGCCGCGAACGACGCGGTACTCGTCATCGTCACACTCGTCGTCGTTGTTGCTAACGCCGTCGTCGCTATCGTCGTCGTCGCCATCGTCATCATCGTCGATGCCGTCGTCGCCGCCGCCGTTGTCGTCGTCGTCGTCGCCGCCGCCGTTGTCGTCGTCGTCGTCGCCGTCGCCGCCGTCGTCGTCGTTGTGACGATCGGGGTCGCCGTCGCCGCCGTCGTCGTCACCATGGCAATCGCCGTCATTGTCGGCGTCGTCGCCATCTTCAACGTCGTCTTTGTCGCAATCGTCGTTGTCCTCGCCGTCGTGATTGTCGTTGTCGTCGTCGTGGTCGTCAAAACCGTTGTCGAAGTCGCCGTCGTCGTTGTTGCCCGCCAACGTCGGCGTCCTCGTCGCGGACATCACCATTTTCATCGTCTTCTTTGTCGCCGGCGCCGTCGCAGTCGTCGCCGTCGCCATCATCGTCGTCGTCAGAATCGTCGTCATCGTCGTCGCCGGCATCGTCGTCGTCGTTGCCAACCTCGTCGTCGTCGTCGTCGTTGTCGTCCTCGTCGCGGCAGTCGCCGTCGCCATCTTCGCCGTCGTCGTCGCCGTCGCCATCGTCGTCGTCGCCGTCGTCGTCGTCGGTATCGTCGTCGCCGTAGCCGTCGCCGTCGTCGCAATCATAGTTGTCGTCGTCGTCGTTGCCATCGTCGTCGTCGTGGTCGTCGCCATCGCAGTCATCGACGCCATCGTCAACATCGGCATTGTCAATGTCGTCAACATCGTCGTCGTGGTCGTCGCCAACGCCGTCGTCCGTGTCGCACCCGTCGTTGCAATCGTTGTTGCCGTCGACGGCATCGTCGTCGTTGTCGCCGTCGCCATCGTCATCGTCGCCGTTGTCGTCGTCGACGTCGTCGCCGTCATCGTCGTCGTGGTCGTCGCCGTCGCAGTCGTCGACGTCGTCGCCGTTGTCATCGTCGCCGTTGTCGTCAGCGCCGTCGTCGCCGCCATCCAACGCCGTCGTCGTCGTCGTCGTCACCGCGGTGGGCGCCGCGGCCGACCCCGTCGCCGTCGCCGTCGTCGTCGCCGTCGTCGTCGCGGTCGCCGTCGCAGTCGCAACCACCACCGTCGCCGTCGCTGTTGCTGTCGTCGCCGTCGTCGTTGCCGTCGTCGTCGTCGTCGTCCTAGTCGTCTTCATCGTCTTCATCGTCGTCGTCATCGCCAACGCCGTCGTCAGAAAAAGCGTCGTCGTTGCCGCCGTCGTCGCCGTCATCGCCATCATCGTCGTCGTCGCAGTCGTCGTCGCCGTCGTCGTCGTCGTCCCCGTCGTCGTCATCATCGTCATCGGCATCGCCATGGTTTTCTCCCTGGCCGTCGCCGTGGTTGTCGTTGCCATCGTCGTCGTCGTCGCTGTTGTCGTCACCACCGCTGTCGTCGTCACCATCATTATCGTCGCCGTTGTGGTCCTCGTCGTCGTTGACGTCGTCCTCGTCGGCGTCGTCGCCGACACCACTTCCGTTGCCGTCGTCGCCGTCTGTCATCGTCGTCGTCATCGTGGTCGTCGTCGCCATCGTCGTCGTCGCCGTCGCCATCGATGCCGTCGTCGTCGTCGCCGCCGCCGTCGTCGTCGCCGTCGCCGTCGATGCTGTCGTCGTCGTCGTCACCATCGTCGTCGTCGCCGTCGCCGTCGATGCGTTCGTCGTCGTCGTCGCCGTCGCCGTCGTCATCGCCGTGGGCGTCGTCGCTGCCGTCTTCGTCGTCGCCATCGCCGCCTCGACGACGTCGGCGATGCATCGGCAACATCGGCGTGGAGAACATCACGCTCCACATGGAGCCGCACCGGCGATGCATCGGCGATGCGACGCGATCCCCTGACCCAATCTGCCCTGACCCCATCTGGGAGGCCTAGGCCTACGCTATCGGCGGTGAGTGGGCTTTCGGCGGTCGGGGGCCGGCGCGCCCCCCCCCCCCTCCGGAGCTGGTGCCCCCCACTTCACGTTGCCCTGGAGGTATCCAGGCCGCGAGAGCGCAGATCCCGCCCGCCGCTCGTGAACGACCACGAAAGCTGTCGGAAACCAAGAAGCACCGGCACCGCGGCACCCTGGACGTCTCCCAGGGTGCGCTCCGACGGAAATCTGGAGGCGAATCGAGCCGTGGCGACGAGGATCTCCCAGGAGACCGGAACGGGCGAAAACGATGGAAGTTTAGCGTACTTGTCCTCCAACGATGGGCATTGCGTCCCCAACCCTCGACTTCTGGGGCTTCTTCCGTGGACCCGTACTCTGCGCCGAATCTGGGGGTACGGTATAGTTACGACCGAGGGCGTCCATCTTCGATACAAGTGCGTTCCAAAAGCCCGCTGGGGGTGTATCCCCGAGATTTCTACCGTTTTTGACCAAACTTTTTGGGGATCGGTGCGGGCAAGATTGATATCCATATCTACTGCGTATTGGACTCTCTGGGAATGGGCGCCCGAAGGCCTAGGCGCAGTGGATATGGACAAAAAGCTAGCCTCCAGGGGCCAGACGTTTGCCCACATCCACTGCGCCCGAAACACCAAGAGCGGCTATGGGAACTTCTTTCAGTCCACGGGCGCCACGTGGTCCAAAAGGGTCAGACGCCAGTGAGCAAACGGTGGGGTGCACCAGAAGGGAATGGAAGCACGACGACGAAACGGGAAAAACGCGAGCGGGAAAGAAGAAGGAGCGACCCGGCTATGGATAAACATGCTACCCGTCATTGGGGGCAAGCCATCACCTACGATTCTCTGACGACTGCGCCCGCGGCGGCAACAATCCACCCGTGAGAAAACCAAACAATAACAATACCGCTACTCCCCGTATCTCTCCCAGAGTGCGTTCTGACAGGATTTCGAAGCGAATCCATCGGTGGCGACGAGGGCTGCCCAAAAGGCCCCAGAACGCAAGAACGGCCGCAGGGTAGCGGTACAGTCAACCCGTATCATTAAGGCGCGCGGTAAAGATGCCAGGGCAGTTGAGGCCCATGTGAACGCTTTCCGAATGAGGTTGGCCAGCGAAGGTCGCTGAGGATGTGCCGAGGAAGCAGGGTGGCAAGGGTACCCTCGGGAAGGTTGCCCCTCCTTACTATGCGTGTTGATCGTAACTGCGAACCTTTTTTGTCCCCCCTCTGATTCGGCGGTGGACAAACCTCCCTTTAGTAAACCTCCCCCTAGTGAAACCGGCCTGGGGCCGAAACCGACGCACCTGGACCCGCGAAAAGGACGGCCGCGACGCCCCCTCGCGCACCGAAAACGGCCAATACCTCAATCGACGTGTCAGGGCAGGAGGCCTGTCCAGCCCCGACGGATCCTGGGACGACTGCGCCCGCGGCGGCGGCGGCCCGCGCGCGCGCGCTGAGCGGTGCCACTGTCTGGCAGGTCCACCGGGTGGAAGCCCGACGCGGGCCTCGCCCGGGCAAAGGCGGCGAAGAGGTGCCGACACCGCCGACCGGGGAGGCGGAGAGGCCAGCAGCATCACGACGACGCCCGCCGCCACCGACGAGAGCGACGACGACGGGCAAGACAAACGACGAGCACGGCGACGACGAAGATCACGACGACGACGACGACGACGACTGCGAGCACGACGACGACCAAGACGACGAAGAGCACGACGGCGTGTTTCGTGGCCATTTGGGAAGACGAGGGGCAAGGAGGGCCTGGGTGCAGCGGCACATGCCCCCCCTCCCCGACTGAGGCAACAGAGGAACGAAAAAACTTTCGTGACGACAACGAACCTCGGTCTTCGGGGATCTGCTGGCCCGGGCCAGTCCAAACCGGGGTCAACCAGGCCTTGCAAGAATCTGCAAGATTCTGCAGGATCCTGCGTGATCCTGCGCCCAAGCCCGGGTCAATGCACCCTTGGCTCTGCAGGATCCAAAATCCAGCGCCATGACTGACCTCCGTTTGTATGGACCCCCGCCCTTTGAGCGCGGAGACCTGAATCCACGGAGCGGCCCAGGAAAACTTCGGTGGCAACTCATGGGAGCCTTCCGTACCATCTTGTCGGATCTGGCAAATCGACGCTACTCGACGCTAAATCGACGCTAATCGACTGCTGTCGACGCTAATGGCCGCTAGCCGACGCTGAGTCGGCGCCATCCCATCGACTCCCGAACCCCAATCGACGCTACAACGAGAGATTTAAGCAGCAAAACAAGCTCTCATGGCTTGCTACCGAATGAGCTCCTCTCCCAAGACCAGATGTTCATCCTGACTCGTGTTTGTTGACGATCCCAGAAGCCCCTGTGAGGGCCGCAGGAGGCCGAAAATTACAACCCTGTGAGGGCCGCAGGAGGCCGAACATTACTATCAAAGGATTCTGCTTCGAGCGATCCCCACCGAAACCTTCTGCGTTGTTTTTTCCCGACGGCGCGCGGCCACCGAATTGGTCGACAACTGCCGTTCCTGGAGTCCCGAAGCGATTCAGCCATGTTCCATGTAATCACGCTCATTCATGTTGTGTTCCATTATGCCTTATTATATTTTCGACGGGCCGGCGTGGCTGACGTCGTGGCGCCTGTGACATCAAATGCTTCGTATGTACGGTGTTCCTTTTCACGTAGTTTTCCCGTCTGACCGGATACATTATGCCATGTTCATGTCACATCCAGTTTGAAATGTCATGGTACGATATGTTCTGCGACACTCTGATGGGACATGATATTCCATGTCAACATATGTTGTCATATGATGTGTTCCGCGATGCTCTGTTCAGTTCGGCTCAGCGCTGTATACGATGACCTGCTCAGCTAGTATGTTTGGCTGTGCTTAGCTGTTATGGTATGATATGCTATGCGATGCTGTCATGGTATGGCCTGGTATGGTTTGCCATGGTGTGTAATGAAATGATTGGGTATGTTATGTTATGTTATGTTGTGTCATGATACGACCTGTTCTGTCAAGGTGTGCTATGTTATGGAGGGCGCGCCGCTGGATGACCCCAAGGGGGGGGGGGACCCGCGCCCCCTTTCCCCCATCCATCGTCGGGCCCCCCCCCCTCCCCCCCTTTCCTGATCCGTCGTCGGGGACCTCCCCCTTCCTCCCTTTCCCGGTCCGTCGTCGGGACCCCCCCCCCCTCCCCCCCTTTTCACTAGGGGGGGGGAGGTGGTTCCGACCCCCCCCCTCTCCCCCCCTTTGGCAGCCTTATTCCCCCCCCCTCCCCTTTTTTCGCCACGGCGCCCCCGGTCTCCAGAACCCCACCCCGACCACCCCGAACACGAACCCCCACCTTTACCCTAACCCCCAACCTAACCCAAACCCAAACCCTAGCCCCAAACAGCACTCACCACTCATTAGGCACTGCTCACTACCCACAAGTCACTATTCGCTACTCACTACTCACTTCTGCCTATTTATTACTCACTACTCACGACGCACTACTCACGACCCACGACTCACTACCCACTACCCATTACTCACTACCCCCTACTCCCTACTCCCTACTCAGTACTTACTACAAACTACTCAATACTCACTACCCACTACTCAGCACTCAGTACTCACAACTCACAATCCACAACTCACGAATCACAAATCACTACTCACTACCCACTACCTACCCGCTAACCACTACGCACTACTCACACTCCACTACTCACTACTCACTGCCCGCAACCCACTACTCACGATCCACTACTCGCTATTTGCTACTCCCTACTTCCTACTCCCCACACAGTACTCACGAGTCACTACTCGCTGATCCCAACGCCCTGCTCGCTACCCGATACTCACACATCCTTACCCACTACTCAGTACCCACTACGCTCCCACTACTCACAAGTCACTACTTCCTACTCCCTACCCACTACTCACTACCCAGTACTCCATACTCACTACTCACGAACAGTACTCACTGCCCACGACTCGCTACTCACTCAGCACTACTCACTACCCACGAACCACTACGCTCCCACTACTCACAACTCACTACTTCCTACTCCCCACCCACTACTCACTACCCAGTATTCCATACTCACTACGCACTAAACTCGCTACTCACTCAGCACTACTCACTACTCACTACTCACGAACCACTATCCACTACTTACTACTGAGTTCTCACCATTCACTAATCACTACGCACGGCCCACAACTCACTAGTCACTATCCGCTACTCGCTACCGAATACGAAATATTCACTACCCACTACGCACTACTCGCTACTCACTACTCCTTACTCACTTGTCGCAAGTCGCCACTCACTACTCACTAGTAACTACTCACGACTCACGACTCACTGCTCACTACTTTCTACTCGCAACTCTCGACTCATTACCCTTTACTCAAAACCCACTTCTCGCTTCTCACTACTCACGACTCCCTACTCCCTACTCCCTACTCGCTACTCCCTACTCGCTACGCACTCCCTACTCACTATTCATTACTGACTCCTGATTACCCCCTCCTCACTACTCACTACTCACAAGGCCCTGCTCGCTACTCAATAGTCACTTGTCGCTACTCACTACTCGCTACTCCCTACTCGCTACTCACCACTAACTACTAACTGCTCTCCACTCGCTGCGCACTACTCACTACTCACTTCTCGCCCCTCGCTATTCGCTACTGTCTACTCCGTCATCCCTACTCCCTGCATACTACTCACTATGCACCTCTCTCTGCACACTACTCACTCCTCACTACTCATAGCTCTTTACTCTGTACTTCCTTCCCACTACTCACTACCCACTACCCACTAATGTATACGCACCACTCACTACTGCCAAGACCCAATACCCACAACTCACTACCCACTACTCAAAAAAAGTCCTGGGACACACAAGTAAATACACACAAATAACAGGATCCCCCATGGTGTCGCATATGTTATGGGTTTTTGTCTTCCTCACTTCCCATATGTTCCCAATATTTTCTTGGGAATCGACGATTCATTGTGTCTGTGTGTCGATGTCCCTCCTGATACTCACGACTCACTGCGCACTACTCACCATCAAATACCCACTACTCACCAATCGCTACTCAAAACACTCTACTCTCTGCTCACTACCCGAGAGGTTCCCTCCCCAGCCCCCTGTTCGACGCAAAGGGGGAAAGGGGGGGGGTTCGAACCCTCCCCCCCTTCCAGCGCCAAGAGGGGGAGGGGTGGGGGTCTGGAACCCCCCCCCCTTCAAGAGGGGGGAGGGGGGTGGGCGGTTCGGACCCCCCCCATAAGGGGGAGGAGGGGGGGGGTCGAAAATCTTCCCCCCTTTGGAGGGGGGTGAGGGGGGGGGGTTCTGCGAGCCCCCCCCCCCTTTTGTGTATCAGGGCCATCCACTGGCGCGTTTTCTATGTTATGCTGCGCTCGGTTATGATACGTTGTGTTGTGTTCTGTCGTGTTCGTAGAGGGCGCGAGGCGGGACACTCGGGAAAATTTAGGGTCTGGCGGCCGCGGCTTGCAAAGAGGGGTTGGCCGGGCGCGGGGCGGGACACCCGGGATACTTGGAATACTCGGGACAACTTGGGTCTGGCGGCCGCGGTATGCAGGGTGATGTTGGCTGGGCGGGAGGCGGGACACCGGGGATACTCGGGACAACTTGGGATCTTGTGGCCGCGGTATGCATGGTGGGGTTGGCTGGGGGGGCCTGTTCTTAAAATTTACAGCCCCAACCTGCGGGTTGGGGACAAACCTCCCCTCGCGCTTTCATCACGACGAAACGATGTGGGGCAACCTCCGCCGCCCAGCCCGCAACGCGCGCGAACCCAGCGGGGGTCACCTCCGCGCCCCCGGCGGGTGACTGGAGAGAAACTACACGGCCAGCTGGCCAACCGGAGGGGCTCGGGTAGCCTCAGGGGGCACTACACCGCCGACCCTGCCAGGAAGTCGCCCGAGACATCCTCTGAGAACGACACAGGTCCCAAAATCGTGCGGTCACTCCGAATCCCCACTGCCTCACCACATGGTGTGGTCAACGCACGGGGCCCGAGTATGATCCAAATCGACTGCGTGCCGAAGTCCTCGATGATATCGATCCCCCACGCGGTGGTTGTGGACCCAAAATCCCGACGTCATGTTTTCTTGATGACGTCGACCTCCAGAGGCCTCGACCCATTCTCCATGACTGGCTTTTCATCCTGAATTTATTTCTGATTGTCCTGTGGCCCGGCGAAAGGCCCCCGAGGCCGAAAATATAAAAGACGTCTCGCCGTGTTTTTGTCACGACCCGAGGGGGTCTGGGAATAGATCCCAGACTCTGGCCACGAGGACGACGATGCCCACGATGTCTGCGGTGCAGGCGCCGTGGACACAGTGCCGGCGAGCTAAGAATCGAGTCGATCAGTCAGATCGGCGATCGAAATGAATCCCGCCGTCTGCATTCGGCAGCCGAGCCGGGGGAAGCCGACTCGGCGGAGCTCGGCAGGCTAGTAATGGCCCTCCGCCGAGAAATCGGAGTGCAGATCGGAATC